TCGTCTCTGTTGAAGGTTCAGCGGTTGAAGTATTTGATATTTGCTGGGCGAGCGAGTTAGGGCTTCTCTGTCTTCTCTCTGCAACTCTCTCTCTCTCTCTAAAATTTTATTTTCAAGTAAAAGGCGCTCTCTGCACCCTTGTTTTCGTGAAAGGTACGCTCTCTGCACCCTTATTGAAGTGTGTTGTTACATAGACACTATGTTGAACTCTTCTGTATGGTGTTCATTTCACTGCTAATGTTCTACTTGGTTTTATAATTATAGTCAGTTTAGTATCTCCTTGAAATTTGGGTGAAAATTTTGGGATGAGATTCTCACTTTCTTGTACGAATTTTCGTGATGAAGTTTTCCCCTGAATTCTCGCCCTTGTGAACTGAAAACTAACATTTTTGAAAACCAAATTATGTAGATTTAGATGAACTGTTTACTCTTGTTTCTGCAATTGATTGTCCTCACACTTCTTTTGCATAACCTTTTGTTACTAAGCTTGTTTTTAATCTTTATCTTCCATTAGTTTTTTTTTTCTATTTGGTAGGGTATTTTAATTTTCAATTTAGCTCAGTTTAACCTGTAGGCTTAATAAGTGGGGTCAGAAATGCAAATAAATTTGAATGTGTCAATAAATTTCAAACTTAACCTGCATAATTTATGTGGATAATTAAACATATTGACTCTATGAATTTAGCCTGTCCTGACAGTCTTACTCAAAAGTCCAAGAGCATTTGATTAAGCCACATAAAATCTCTTTAGGAACGGTTTAATTCCAAGACCAAACATCATCCCAAGTCATTTTGCTTACACCTTTGCATCTTGACATTTCGTCTTAACAATCCTATACACCAAAAATAAAATAATAAATTAAATATTTAGTTTAGGTGTGTCAGTGGAGATGAATCTGGTGGAAGAGTTCAAAAAGAATGAAAAATCACTACATGCTTGCATGTTTAGATAGCATAAAAATTGGTTACCCTTTAGATTCCATCCTTTGTTAGTTTTATTCTATCTCTCACCATGGAAGTAGCATGGAGGCTTATTAAATAGAGGTGGTGCATTCTGGAGGGGCAATAGTTGAAATTCATAAGTCTTTTGGGAGGATTGCAGAGCTCAAATTGGTTTAAGTTTTTTTTTCATGTAAATAAAACTCATGTAAATTAGAACTCCCTATTTACAGAAACTAACTCCTATAAAAACGTATAAATTGCGCAGATGATGTTTGACTGGTTCAATCAGAACAATGTAGGTTATATACTGCTGTTATCATCATATAATATATAATCATAAATTTCATAGATTTCTCTCTCCATATTTTCGCGTCTGGATAGATTTTATTTTATCATATATAATGCTGCATTTGCAAACTCAAAACAGTTTTGTATTGTGGCCGGTATAACTTCATGGTGGAATTAATATTCATAGAAGCCTAAAAAGAACTTGCCATTATCCAGTTCTCTCATTGATAAACATAACAGGTGTTGAAAGGTTGAAAGGTTAAGACATCTGGAGTCGAGCGTGCCAACACTACTATGCAAACTAGAGATGGTGTTTCCTCCTACGTTTTTTGACTCAATGGAACATTTGCCTGTTCACTTGGCCTATGAAGCAAGGGTTGGAGGTCCACAACAATATAGATGGATGTATCCATTTGAAAGGTTAGTTTTTTATCCGAACATATTAATTGCGTCACACGATGCTACAAATTATCAGAACCCTAATATCTATTCATAGGTTTGTACGCACACTGAAGATGAAGGTCAGTAACTTGAGGCATGTTGAAGGATCTATCGCCGAAGCGTATCTCGTTGAAGAGACTGGTAAATTTGCATCGTACTATTATCCTCCTGAATGTATATCAACTTGGAGAGGAGTCCCTCGAAATGATGATGGCGGTGATACGAGTGGTCAGATATCGCTATTTAATTATCCAGGCCGATCTGTGGGAAGTCAAAGGGCATCAATTCTAGAGGGACGAGATAAGAACGTTGCAGAGTGGTACATTCTAAACAACTCAGCAGAGGCCGCTCCGTACATAGAGTAAGATTTCATTTTTGAACTTAGAGATGATGTTTCCATTACGCGACTATATTTGGTTTATGGGTAGTTATCCTCATGAGTTTTATAATATTTTTTTCCTTACAGAAAATTTTCCAAATGGACACGTTCGAATAATCCTTTATGGTCAGATTCCGAAGTTGATCAACACGTTACGTCTGAATTTCCTCAATGGTTTGAGGAGTACTTCATACAAAACCAATCGGCTGTCCATGATGTTGCATATATTTTATCAAGTGGAGCTGCAAGATTTGTCACCCGATTCAGAAAATATATAGTCAACGGATATAGATTTGCAACTGTAGAAGCGAATCAAAATATGTCATGTTGTAATTATGGTGTATGTTGTCGAGGTGGGCAAGTCGACGGTGCTGAGGGCGATTACTACGGGAAGTTAATTGATATCATTCTTTTGGATTACAAGTTGGGCAAATCGATTACTCTCTTTAAATGCGATTAGTTTGATAACACCTCACGTGGGACAAAAGTTGACCAGTATGGAAATGTTGAGGTCAATTGGTCAAGGAGTTATGCACTTGGCTACGACCCATTTATACTTTCTCAACAAGCGGAACAAGTTATTTACACATTATACCCTACTTCCCAACAAGGGTGGAGAGGAGTTATCAAAACCAAAGCCCGGAATATTATCCCTAAGTCGATGGAGTCAGACTCAAATGATGTGACTGATCCATTTCAGGATGATGGGGAACATGAACTTCCTGTAAATGTTGCAGAGGATGATGTGCCAAGCAATCTTTTTGATTCCACTGGAGAGTTAGAGTTAATTCCTGTTATATTGGACAATGACGAATCAGACGATGATGAACAAGATATTTATTTAGATAGTGAGCCTGAATTCGATGATTATGAGAGTCCAGAGGAAGGTGGTCAAGAAGAATTCAAAGAACAGGAATCGTCCGATTGATTTTAGTTATTCTTTCTTTAAGCTTATCTGTTGTACTAAATAAATAATTTTTATTCACAGGCCACATGTTATATGTATTATACAATTATGTTTTATATTTAGTACTTATTATATTTTTCTTTAGTGACAAATGGATGGCCATAGCGGTAGACGTTGTATTGCATACTTATTATATTTATATATATTTTTGCATTATGTTTATAAGTTTTCACAGATGGTTCATACGGATGGGCGTACTGGTAGTGATGGTAATGTCGGTAGAGGTCGAGTTACAGGTCGTGGTGGCAGAGGAGGTAGGACGACATCATCTACCCCCTCTGGTAGAGGTCGTACAGCTTCCTCATCCCTCCCTCCACTTCGGATAGGATCATCACCATCTACCACCGACTCTGTTATGGGAAGTGCAGGACTTCCTCATACTCCCACTGACCCGATGGGGCAGACACAACAGGTTAAGTAAACCATCATTTTGTGATTTAGATATATATTATAGTTTCTTTTAAGCATCTCTCTACTAACTTTTTTAATGCTTAACATTTTTTCCCTTTTGCAGGTTGCATCCCCTGCAAGCGAGGTAGGAGATGCTGCTTCGGCACTTCAGCCAGAGTGGGGGAGGTGTGATCCACAGACTAAACGTATATGGGTTCGTCCTTTAGGCACCACAGAGTAAGTTGTAATTGTTACTAATGATGTACTAATGTGGCTTCTAGCATTGCTCAATCGTTATAATCAAATAAATTGATTTAATATTGTCAGGTTCGAACCTTATGATGAGATCATGAAATACATTGATAATCAAATATTTCGTAATTTTAAACATGTATGGAGCACCTGGGGAGACGTTCCTAAACAAACTCGAGATGGTTGGATGGATGAATTTCTGGTAAGTTATGTATATCTCGTTAATGCTAATGTTTTATTACAAAAATATATACTAACTACACATTTATGACCAATTTGTGCGCTAATCGAAAAAATTGGCAATTTACAGAGTCATTATAGGTGGTTGCCCGAGGATCGCCATAACCTGGCAAGAGCTTGGCATCACAGAGCCACCACAATGTTCGCAGATAAAATGCATAAAGTAAGATTTGACATCGGTAAAAATGCATGGCGTAGTGAATCATTAAAAATCCAATTGAAAGAAAAATGAAAAAATTGTCCTAAGTTTCAAAAGAGATCTGCTCAAAATAAGGAAAATAGGGCCAAGCAGGACACACCCACATATGCTGGAGGGTCGATTCCAATCAGCAAGCATCGACAAAGGATAGTAAGTATAAAAAGTTTTCTAGTTCGGTATTCAACAATTCGTACTTGCAACTAATGAATTAATGATTTTCATTTGTATTTCCAGGAGGCTTCTGGAGAAGTGCCGCCTGAAAAGGTTGATTGGGCTACCTTCGAGCAAACTCATTCCCAGCAGCCTGAAGCTGGTCAAAGGCGTTGGTTAGGCCCCAAAGTGAAGCTAATAGCGGTTTGATCATTTATTATTTGACGTTTGTTTTTTCTATGATGGTTTATGTCATGTTTTACATGTCCATATGTGTGCTGATTTTTCTTTACTTGCAGGAAAATTATCAAAAACTTGAAGAGGAGATGTCCGCACAGGTGGCGACAGACGGTCAATCCAGCTCCTCCTATTCCGATAATGGGAACATGTTGGTTACAGCTGCGGGTGGATTCAACAAGAAAGGAAGGGTGGTCGGGCTGGGAGGATATGCTAGCCGACTGAAGCCTAGTAAGCGGCCCTCTACCCAGATTGACAGTGTTTCTGCAGGTAAACTCAATGTATAGTTCATTCTTTTATATTTTCAATCTCTATTCTATTAATATTTTATTTTAAACATTTAACTTACTGTTTTATAATAATGTATTTGCAGATGAGCTTAAAAGGATGAGGGTGTCCCACTCCCAGATGCAGGAGCAATTGCATGCTACCACAGAGCAGCTAACTCAGCAAGCAGACTTTATAAAGCAGCAAGCTGACATTATGAAACAAATGCAGGAACAACTCTGACTTTTAATGCAGGACAAGGAAGCCAACTGCAACAAGTCGAAGGGACCGGCGCCGGATGATGACCCTGATGATGATGATGACTTTGCTAGGACTTTAGAGGCATACTAGTTGTTGTTTGTATGTTTTACTTCTTTTAGGACTTCAGAGATATATCATATATTTTTTGTATGTTTTATTTTGTTTAGAACTTTAGAGAAATTTTAGTTGTAGATTTGATGGTTGTTGTTGTTGTTAACTTTTGTTGATATACTATTTAATTTTAATTTCATTGTTTATCCTGTATTTTTTTGGATTTTTGTTGTTCAATTTATGTATTTATGTTGATTTGGTATCCTTGTTGTTTACAGGAAAATTAAGAAAGGTTTAATACATTTTTTTATTTTTTTATTTTAATTCCAGAATTTGTGGCGGAAACTTTTAAAATTCCCTTACAAAATTTGTAGCATTTAGCGAGGGAAAATCAAAATTTTCCCTTGCAAAATTTCGTAGCATTTTGCGAGGGAAAATCAAAAATTTCCCTTGCAAAATTTGTAGCATTTTGCGAGGGAAAATCAAAATGTTCCATTGCAAATTTTGCAACGGAAATTTAATACACCCCTTGCAAATTTTGCTACGGAAGTTTGCAAGGGAAATTATACTCGACATTTTCGTCGCAATCTGCGACGGAAAAACACTGTAGATAGGTCTGTTATTTGCGAGGGAAATTTACTTTTTTGCAAGGGAACTTTTCCCTAGCAATTTGCGAGGGAATTTCATATGACAAATTTCCCTTGCAAATCTATTTGCGACGAGGGTTTTAGCGAGGGACGGTGTTCCCTCGCAAATTCCGTCGCAGACAGTTTTTGCAAGGGAATTAGGCTGTTTTGCAAGAGAATTTTCCCCTTGCTGATTGTGAATTTTCTAGTAGTGCTTGCCGCCTTCAATGGCCTCTTGGGCACCCATCCAATTCCTACTCGGAAACGGGAAAGCAAAAGTCCCTTGCCGCCGTCCAATTCCTACTCGGAAACGGGAAAGCAAAAGTCCCTTGCCGCCTTCAATGGCCTCTTGGGCACCCGTCCAATTCCTACTCGGAAACGGGAAAGCAAAAGTCCCTTGCCGCCTTAATTGGCCTCTTGGGCAGCCGTTCAATTCCTACTCGGAAACGGGAAAACAAAGTCCCTTGCCACCTTAATTGGCCTCTTGGGCAGCCGTTCAATTCCTACTCGGAAACGGGAAAACAAAGTCCCTTGCCGCCTTAATTGGCCTCTTGGGCAGCCGTTCAATTCCTACTTGGAAGCGGGAAAACAAAGTCCTTTGCTGCCAAAAGAAGACCGACCCTCCAGGATAAAAATGGTTTATTAATAGAAGACCGGCCCTCCGGGATAAAAATGGTTTACTAAAAGAAGATTGGCCCTCCGGGATAAAAATGGTTTACTAAAAAACCTTTGGGCACCCGTCCTTTTCCTAATCGGAAGGGGGAAAATTGTGGAACATTTGATTCTGAATGATCCTAATTAGCGCATAAGACATCTTCATATAGGGTTCTCACACCCTACTCAGGTACGCAATAAACTATTATTGTTTTTATTTATTGCAGGTTTAGGCTGAGAAATCCGAGAAACCATCTCTAGCTTCAAACTCGGAAGCAATTACAAACCCGGAGACCACTACAACCAACGAGCAACACGATAAAGCAACATGGAACCCGGAAGCATTCACAAGCTGGGTTTTCCCGGCATTCATATCCTTTTTCACAACACTAAACATTATTTGATAGGCACGGGGGCTTTACTTTTACCCCGGCATTCCGACTATGCGCAATGCCAGGCTGGGGGACTTATGTTGTGGACCACTTAGGTGGTTCCCACTTTCTATCCCCACTACATGGAGCATCTCATTCCATCACTCTCCCATAACTTCCATCCACTACCAATAACTACCCACTAAGCATTGCATCATGCCATTAAGTCACCTGCAAACTACCCACTAGGGGCACAATCTCCTAGTGCATTCATTTATATATAACCCCTTGTAGCTAAGAAAGGGGAGAATCTCATAACTCACCTACATACTTGTGCCCAGAGCACATCCTATCCACCGCAGGTGACTCACACACACACTCCTTGTTCATTCCATCGGACTTTGGCCTAAGGTGCAGGACTTCTAATTGCCTGTCATCTTTACCATAAGCTCCGTAGATACAAATACTAGCTATATTGCTAGACCATTAATGTTCACTCCAGAACACATATCATACTATACAAATTTTATGAGAATAAAATTTGTATTTTGATAAAATATCTTTAACCGCCTCTTAATATTATTATTATTATTTTAAAGTCTAAAACCCACAAACCACACCGCATCAAGTTCCTTTTATTTAAACCCTCTGATCCTGTTCATCACGCTAAGTACAAAATTGCCGTGAATTGCATTCATTCATTTATTCAGACGAAAATAATGTTCCCCATTGAAAGCGCTCCCTTCTCTGTTGTGTACTTCGACGGCGTTAGGGAGATCAACGTCGGCACCATCGTGGTGGATCACTCTCTGAATTTCAAGAAGCTTCTCTCCTTCTTGAGCCAGATAATTGGGATCTCGGCGCACCAATTTACCGTCTATCTCGCCACCTTAGGCACCGACCGGAAAATTCCCATCACCAGCAAGGTCAACCTCGCCACAGTGGCCTGCCAAAGCGGCGAGTGCTACTTCTTCGTCAAGCGGTCCAAGCGATACAAGAAGACTCCGACTCCGGCGAACGGCAAGAACTCGAATATGGACAAGAAGACCCAGCCGGAGAATGTCATGCTCCTGCGCCGGGACGCCGCCAACGGAGGCGTCAAAGAACCGCCGCAAGAACTTTCTGGCTTCAGTCCTCCGATTCTGGATCGCGTCGAGTACGAGAACGGGGTGAACGTGGGCATCAACGGTGGTACCGTAGCGTCGAACGGCGGAGGAGGCGGCGGCGCGGTGTGCAAAGAGTGTATGAGGGCGAAGGTGACGGGGATTGATGGCGGTTTTCATCCGTGCGTGAATGACGAGGTAATAGTAGGGTTCAGGTCGTCGGCGGGACCGGTTTCTCGGCCGGCGAAGAATTCCGGCAAGGAGCGCCCCTGATTTGTGTAGCTGTTTTTTTTCATCTCTCGATGAAGGAGAAAAATTGTACAGTAATAGCCTGCGGTCAGGTATACAGTAAGCACGGAAAGGTATACCATTAATTTATTCATCGGTTACGGTACTGATTTTGCCCCCAATTAGAGTAGTTTTGATTTGAAATTTTGGTAATTAGAGAGAAAGAGAAGCGAAAAGTTGTTATGTGACTTTGACTTTTTGGGTTGCTTTCCATTTGCTTGTTGTGTAACGCAAGATAGAGAATGCAACGTGAAAATTGAGGGGATGGATTGGTTTGTTATAGACTTGTTAGTGTGTAGGCCCTCTTGGGTTTCTACGTGAATGATGAATGAGATGTTAAAGTGCTTGCTCATCAGGTCAATGCTTCCTCTTCTTTTGGCATGTGCAGGTTCTTGAGGAGTCTTGAGTCCATCTATACTTGACTTGATTATTATGTTATTATGGAAATTTCCTATTTTGATCTTGTTTGTGATGAGTCAAAGTTTGTATGAATTGAATGAGACCCATAATAAATTTTAACTAGATACCTTGCCAGAATAGAGGTAAGTTTCGATTCGTTTTCGTAACGAATTAAATATATATAATAAAATATAATAAATATAAAATTAAAAGCATTTTAACTAATAATTTAAATTATAAGTTATAATTTACATTGTTTAGGTTCGAATCTTATTAGTGTTATTTTTTAAGCATTTTGTCAAAAAATTTACAAAACCGATATTTTTTTAAAATTGATATCGGGAGATTAATATCTAAACTGGACAGATTGGGATTCGGTTTACGGTCGACCTGGAAATTGAGTGGATCAAGTTGGTTTTTATAACACTGGTCTCCCTTTCCATTGCGTCTTTCCCTCTTCTAATTATTTATTTTTATAAGAAAATTGTTATAGTGGACAGATAATTATTCATCATACTTTGTATTCATAAATTAATTTTTAAATCAATAAACTGCAGATAACAGTAGTGCCCTGAATGATCACATGACATTATTTTAGACTGAAACACAACTTTTTGCGTAGCAAGTTTAATTCTGAGGACTACATAAGCACACAACAGTACTCCCTGAAGCTCAAAGTTCAATTTCCATTACCTTCAATGCCTTTGCACTGCAAATGTGCATACGTATCATGTATGTGTTATTTTAGAGGTATACGGGAGTGTTTGGCAAGGGAGTTTTGATTTATTGCCAAGTATATATGGAATTTAAAGAAAGCGGTTTTAATTTGCATGAGAAAGTAATATTCTGTGTAAAACTGAGAGCAAATCATCATTTGAGAATATTATTGAGAAGGTGGTATTTTAATTTATATGGGAAAGTTGCATTTGCTTTTTTTTTTCAATTCTTTTTTCCAGCTTTATAAAGTTTAAAAAAAAGTATTATCTAGATAAGGGTTATTTTTGTAATTTTATCTCATTTTTTCAATAATATTTTATTTTCAATTAAATATAGACTCAAAAAATTTAAATCAATTTATTAGATAATATTTAATCTATCCAACAATTTTTTTTAACTTTTCCAAAAAAAATTCACTGTACTATTATTTTTTAGATTTGTATTTGTCATTTAACATGACACACTAAATTTTTCTACACAGATAATATTTTGTGGGACTCACTTTTTGAAAAAGAAAAAGAAAATGGTGACACACAAAACGAATCTCTGTAACATTACACAATCACTTTTCTTACAACATAACTCTTATAAAACCTATTATTTTTTCGACATTTACCGTTTTCTTGATAATTTTTTTTTTCCTCTATCAAATTCTGCCGTATGAAATTAGGAAAAAAGAAAAGAAAAAAGGTAACATGTTCCAATACGAGGCAACTGAAGATTACGTCACCTGTGGATTGAATGAACCTCTGTCATTTTTTCTTGTCGGTTACAACTAGGGGTGTAAATGGGCTGGGCTGGGCTTTGGCCATCCTGGCCCAAGCCTACGTCAAAAAAAATTCAGCCTATCTGGCCTACTGGCCTATTAAAGGCTTTATTTGTAGGCCAAGCTCGGCCCATTTTCAAAAATAAGAAAGCCCGACATGGCCTACAGGCCTTGTAGGCCTCCCACTATATATACTAAGCAAAAAAAATAATTGTATAGAGCAAAGAAAGCTCCATTCATGCATGCACTAATACTTCTCATAAGAAAAAAATGACAAACAAGAAAGAGTCAACATACTACCTCAGCTCTAGAATGTATATCATAGAAGAATAGAGTCAAAGAAATGGAAAAAATATGAAAAATACAATTACTGGATGCTGAAATAAAGTCTACAAGAGAATGTCATTCATTTAAAAATCTTTAAATCACCATCAAGATAAGGGAAAGAAGAGTATTATTGAAAGATTTTCATCAGCAACATCATAATCCAGCAAGGTACCCATTGCTCTATGGCATTAAGCTGCAACAGTATGTAAAATTTGGAGACATTAGACAAGTTTTCCTTTCATAGAATAAAATAGCACAAAAAGTAAGAGATATTAGTATTTGGTACTTTGTGTCTTTGCCACATAAAATAAATATTATTTTATTATTTTATTTTAATAAATTAAATAGGCCAGCCTACAAGGCGGTAGGCCGGGCTTGACAAAATTGGCCTATGGCCTATTTATTAAAAAATCTTTTTTATAAGCCTAAGCCTACTCTATTTTTCTGAAAGGCCGGGCCTGGACTGGGCTCAATGTAGATCGGGCCGTAGGCTGGGCTGGGCCAGCCTGGCTCATTTACACCCCTAATTACAACAGTGAGTGTTTTGGGGGATCGAACCCAGCAACCTGCACCTGCAACAGATCTTTTGCTTAACGGCAGTGATCATATGATTTGTCCATTTACCGATAAACTGAAAAGCCGGTCTCACTATTTATTCTCTCTTCCCTTCAGTTTTTCTCACACATTTTCTTGGCTGTTCAATCCTCTATTTCTTGTGGGAGGAAATTCTCTTAAGTATAAAAGTAATCATGTAGTCATATTATTTGATTATAATTATTTATTCAAAATTATACATTTTTTATCTCTTATCTCATCATCAATAAGTGGTTGTGATCAAATAACATGACCACATAATTACTTTTTTACATGAGAGAATCCACTATCATTCCTCGTTAATATCCAGCGCTTTATTTCATTGCTTTTCAGTTACAGCAGTTATTACTGTAATGTATTAGTCACCAGGGGTGTCAAGATTAATATACATGAATTCAGTTGATTTATTACTATGATTAAAATCTTGGGATTTGTAATTTGAAGTAAATAATTAATGATTTTCATTTATTTAAAATTTATAAATAATTCTGAGTTCTCTTAACAAATTTTGTTAATATTTGAATAAAAAGTTAATATTTTTATACAAGTTTTATAAATCTTTTAATAATTGTTATTATTTAATAGGAGTTTTCAATACAAATAACTATAACTAATATTTTAAAAAATTTAATATTAAATTTTTTAATTTAAACTTTGAAACTAGTTAAAAAAATAAGCTAAAAATATTAAATTTAGTATTTTAATTGAAGACAATTACCAAAATAATATTTTAAGAAAATTTAAAAAGGTTTTAAAAAAATTATATAATAGACATGAATTTATATATAAATAAGAAATCTACTAACCAAAAACTTTATTATATTCATTTAAGAAAAACAAGTTTTAATTTAAAATAAGGGTATAATATTTCTCCAGTCAAAGGAGATAAATTATCTCCAGTGAGCACAAAACGACATCGTTTTGAGACAGAAATCAATATATTTTTGTAATTATAATTTATTGCATGATTATATTAGTCTTTATCATTATAATTTTTAATTTTATAACTCAAAATGACATCATTTTGGTTCACCGGAGATAACTTTATCTCCAGTGATTGGAGAAATACTTTTTCCAAAAACTATTTAATGTATTAAAACCTAATACAAATTAGTTATTTTTATTTAAGTAAATAAAAATACAATGAAAGAATTTAATACTCTTTCAGTAATTTTCTTAAAAGACTTCTAATAAAAAAATTTAACTGAAATAATATCTATCTTATTTTGATTGGAAAAAAGTTCGCATGTCCACTCGATCATAATTTATATTAGATTATGAGTCTTTTGAATGAACTTTTAAAAAAATGACTTTTTATATCTTACTTATTTTAGAATTATTTTTTACAAAAGTTAAAGCTATTTAATTTTTTTAAAAATATTTGACTTCTGACTTCTTCTTTATTTAGAAGCTAAAATCTTTAGCTTTTAAAAAAGCAGATTTTGATTTTTTTGTGACTTTTGCTTTTGTTTTAAAATAGATATCCAAACGAACTTTAGAGTGAGAAGTTTTTTTTTCTAAAATAAGAAGCTTTTGGAGGGAAAAAAACTCATCCAAGCAGGCCCTATATGGTGTTCTTGTACCTCTTTCTTCTCTTTGGTTCTTTCTTACATTCCCAGATAATTTGTTTTAGTTTTTCACTACAAACCAATGCTTCAATAACATCTCTCATATTTTATGTTGAATTCACAATACCTCTTTAAGGATGCAGAATCTTGAGGTGTTCAATGCGAGTGTTTTCATCGAACTTTCTTTGAATTCTGAAATCTTTCTTTCCTTCTGTTGTTCCTGCTTTAATCCTGGTATCAACGTGGGAACTTTTGTGGCTTTCCAAATTAATGTATTTCTCATATCATCCTCTTAATTCCTCTATAGTCCTTGGTTTTTATTTTGCCAAGTTGGAATGGGCCTTATTGCAAGCCATCAATGATTAATATAAAGAAACATTTGGATCCAAGTCTCTTAATATCAGAACTTCATCAAAGAATCAATTCATGTAATCCAGCGAAGATTCGCAAGATCCTTGCTTTATCGCTTTCAATGCATGAGTATATTTGTATTGTGTGTTTCTTATTGTGAATATCACCAAAAATTGGTTGTACACATCTTCCCAATCATGAATGGAGTTTGGCGGAGGGAAATAAAACCACCTTAAGGCTACTTCTTTTAAAGTAGTTGGAAA